AAGTGTTCAAAGGTATCCTTGTTGAGATTCGACAGACAATAAATTTACAAGTTCCTGGATAAAGTAACCAAGTCTTCGGCAATAATCCAGGGTAATATCCAAGGATCATGATGAGGTGCTGAAGAACAGCAATCAAGAGAAAGGCGTGAGGAGCAGAACGGAAAATATTCTTGTTTAAAGCTGGGTCACGACTCGGTAGATAATGTTTCTGGATAAAACACAGATATGATTACTCATAACTTTCTTTTTCTATATTTAAACACTAACTGTACACCTGCACTTATGTAGGTTAGTGAAGACAAGTCAATAGTAAGATAGCGAATGGGCAAATAATCTTTTGAATAGAGGAAATTCATAAGAACTAAATTGTTAGAAATAATGTTTATTTACTGAATATAATACTGAAAGCATAATGATCTGATGCTTTGGTGATACTTCATCCGTCGCTTTTTGATTACTGTAGCTCAAGAGGTTATGAGTAGGCTCGTTTTCGCCTCAATAGTTCAGGTGTGCCTGTAATAGGATTTGTTTGTAGGAGATGAAACCAGTTCAAGATTACAAACATCAGTCGTAGACGTGGTTGACCTGGAACACAAACATTTCGATCAAAAGAAGTATGGTTACAATGGAATCACTGATGTCAAATATATTCGCACAATGACTGAAAAAACAATAATTAGATTAACTAATGTTAGAAAGAATATCACGGGTCTGATAGTGCTACGTGCTACTCAGTCATAAGGGATTTTAAAGATTCCTATGCAAACATTTCCACAGGAAATCTATGTCTTGTGAGTAGCTATGGTGTCCTCTGCGCTAGAACATAAAAAACAAACAAGCTGATAGTCTATATTGGCTGAACTATATACCTAGAACACAATAATTTGATATATACCGGTCTCTCAAACCTCCGGAAGATTTTAAACTAGGTTAACTGTTTCATCCTGTTATGTAACCTGAATTCTATCGATATAAGTGAACGTTTCATGATGAGGCCCTGAAACTGAATGGACATTCAACAACGGATTGTCAGAGTTTATTACACTCTATCGGTTTGGATTTCTGTGGCAAGTGAAGAGTCATAAGGCTCACTCCCTGAACTTTTTATCTTATTGACTACTTAAGAACTACCTATATATTGGGACTCTTACGTTTCCCTGTATATATAGAATCCTGAGATCTGAAAGAAACTGTTTGGCCCAGTTGATTTTTGACATTCTAAATGCTTAGCCAGCTAAATATAACCGGAATACCTAAACCCTCATTCCGTTCAATGTCAAGGGACGCATATTATTAATAGCGAACAGCGGTGCTTCTTCATCCAATAAGTACCGAATAAAATGTTCTAACGAAACGTTTAAAACCAGATAAACAAGCTGCCCATTACATCTCGAGACACCTCAGGTATCTCTTCCTAATGGCAATATATTGCGAATCAAACAGGTGGATTCTCGATATTTCCTCAGTAATCGTTTGGTGGCTTAGATCATGGAATACTCAAAATTGTTCTCATTGCTTATCAGAGATCTCGTCGGGGAAAACTCCTGCCTAAAATCGCCCAACATTAACAAGGATATTACTCACTTAGAACGTGTTCGAAGAAGAGTGGCTAAGAAGGTATTCCCAAAAACACTGAGGCTTGATCCCGTTGACTAGAAGCTCCTTATTTACATCCTTTGCGGTACAGAAAGGCTAAGGGGAATATCATCTTGACGTAGGGTATTTTGTTCATCATAATAGCTCACTTACACGTTTCAGTGGTTAGTCAAGCTTACGAGGACATCGAGTCAAGTTAAAAGACGAAAGAGCTCGGATAAAATTCTCGCAGAACGTTTCGCTATTCGAACCAGCAAGTTACGTCACACTTTATTGAAATCTATAGTACTGACAACCCCTACTGAATCTCCCAGAAGAACCCACATTTACAAAGTACCAGGCCTAACTACTCCAGATTTTATTCCTCATTTACGTGAATAATTAATTCAATTGTTGTGCCTTTCATTTTCTGGATGACCTGACAGCTGTAGGCTTTTTGGAGTTATAGTATGTACCATTAGCGAGAGTGCAGTCAAAGAGTCCTGTAGAGTGGATTGTTGAATGAGGCGAATAGACGCCAAAATGCATTATATATGGCTTCTCTGCTGTCGTATCGATGACTTATGTGAGCCCTCGCAACACGTCATACAAATGAATAGGTGATTTGCCAAGCTATACCAGACTTGAAAGGTTTCACTTGAGAAATTGGTAGATATCAAGTGCGCAGACTAAATGATCGTGGGGTGTAATTGTCAGTGAACCTGGAACACGCTAACTTAGACTACAGAATGGCCATTATCACTAGTGTATAACGTGTCCTTGAGTATCGTCTCAAATATCACCCACCGGCTCAGCTACTTCATGAACCATCCAAATGGTTAATCTTGGGATTCTTTTCCACCAGGTGAAGACGATTTTTATAATTTTCACATGCATCCTAATGGATAAACAATTCCCAAATCTAAGCGATTACAGGAGTGGTACCGCCGCATGCTTCAAAAATCTATCATAGAAGGAATTGTGGTCGACTACAAAAACATCCTCATAGATGCTTTAGATCATCAACTTGTGTCGCCTACGGAGATTCCTTATTTTGAAGGTGATTTTTGGCCAAATACGCTTGAAGATATTCTTAAGGTAAGTAAATCCATCGCAACAATATTTCTCTCCTCACTAGGCTTTTCAGGCTTATTGTTGGCCTTGGCGTAAGTGGCTCTTTGCATTGTGCAACTATTATTGATTTATATTCTTTAAGTTTTTCCTCTATTATGTTTCCTTTTTTCAGATAAGGTATGGAGGCTAGTTATTATTAATCATTTACTACCTATATTTTATTTTTAGGAAGTATGAAACTCAAATATATTTCTGACGAATGTTTTCATAACTTGGGAAAATCTAGACACGTTTAACTGGTCATTTTGATTCTGGATGATAACTTACAGATAACTTCTAGCCTAGTGTCTAAACTGTAGATAGATTTGTTTATGTAGAACTGGAAGTTAAATAGTTACAAGCGATTTATCACTACACTACGTTTATGCTCTAGTTTAGTTCTAGAATTGTATTTTTCCTCATCGACTCGTTAAATTATCTGTATTTGAGTAACTAAAACTTGCAACAACAAAATGGATTCATTCATTGCTTTAAACTGATAATACTTGCATGCATACCATGGTTCATATTGGTTTTGCATCTTCCCATTATCCAGTAAGTAGAAGTAATAAATTAACATCGGTTAAAATGCATCACTTACAGCATAACAGTCATAATCATTTTGCTTCATCCACTGTCGACGATAAAGGTCACCAATGGTTCTTAATCTTAGCAAATTTGATTTTTTATGTCCGTTATTGCATTTCACGTTTATGAACTAATATTAATATCTTTGGTTAACTACTCAAAAACACCTGTAGGGATATATATATATACAATAGAGTCAATAAGGGTGATAATGATAACAATAGGATTAAAATATTGATAAAGGTTTTCTAATGTCAGCCATAAAGCATTTTTAGGAAAATTTTCTTACGTAGAAACTTCTAAGAATATATGTTCCCGTTAAATTGTGTCCCTGATCGTTTATTATTCCGTAGTATTCCTATTAGGTATTCGGTTTTCATCGTATTCTTTGCTACTAAAATTCAACAGTGGTAACATAGAATTAGTGAGAAATGTAAAAGCTATACAATTATGATAATTTACATGATAAGAAGAAAACCTCGACTGTTTATGAACAGTTATCAAGCGACGATCATGCAAAACAACAACAGTGGATACATTTATTTTATTTGGTAATATGACTAAGGTTATTGTGAGGATTTAATCCCTCAATCAGTATTTATCCATGCGGTTATACTGTGTTTACGTCAAAAGATTATTGAATCAACATCGATGTATTATCTTTATAGTGTTTTAAATTTTTTAATAGTCATCTCAATCCCATCTTCACTACCGTTTTTACATTCCTTCTCTGTGATACCATTACAAACTCATGCATTGTGCAGTTACGCTACTTTTGGAAGTTCTGATTTCCTTCTTGACGCTTCTTATCCTTATTTCTTTACAGGAACTAGAAGAGGAAGAAGCCCGTCGGCGCCGTGAAGAGGCGATGGCTCAGGCAGAGGCTGAAGATGATGAAGCAGATTGCTCAAGCTCTACCAATGAAGGTGGAACTGGTGTTGAGAGAAATGGGTATAATGATAGGAAGCTGAGTCGGTTGAGGTTCTTGACCTTTGTGGATGAAAGGGAGTTTGCGCACTAGTCTTATTAGGGGCAAGAGTGTGAGTAGGAGTTCGACCATGAATAATCACTTAGAGAGTTCTGCTGTTTTAAATAGGTGACTCATGTTGTACACAATACATTGAGGCTCATTATCTAGTGTAATTTTCAGCCTATGACCCAGTTGCTAAACACGGAGATTTTTAACCTATTACTGACCTATAAATTTGGACCTCTAGAACTGAACCTGGGAGTTATAATGTAAATACTGATGGCAGCGTTATAAATGTGCATGTTACCCGACAGAATAAACAGAAGAATGCGAGACAATTGGGGGAGAAAGTACTCAAAGTGTGGGTTTCAGAGAAAATGATGAACTCAGGTGAAGGTATGTTACACAAAATGAAAGCTCAAAAGGTGCTTAAGATTGAAAAGTTACCGTTGATCTCATAACTTACCTACCGTTATCATTACCACATATCAGTATCTGCTTATCATCCATTTTATCCTTGCACATCTAGAATCCAAAGTGTCTTGAGACAAACGTACTCATTGAAATTACAAGACATAAAAAACAAACTTAAATGCAGAACTGACTAAACTACCGTCTCTGGAGATCACCAAAGATATAGAACGGCACCGAAACAACGGGAACGAGAGTAAAGTAGTCAGTCCGTTTGTGGAGATGGCATGACAAACGTATTTTGAATTTATTCTGTTAATTTTCGACTGTTTGTACATTTAATATAAAATGATTGTACATGTTGTTTAAGTGCGTTACCTTGGATACAAGTAACGTTGACTACTCGATTTTTCCGTTCTGTTGTACACGTAGCACGGCACTCAATGCCTGAGCCTATCAAATACACTTTATGTACACAACTTATGTTCTCATTCGTTCATTAATACGCTAATCGGATTCTAATACGTATATTGTCTACATTTATAGACTACAGTCATACGTATAAACTACCTTACGGATATTTACATTAATTGTATTACTAATCTCCTATAATTGTGGATTTTTGGTACCAGTCACAACCAAACACGCACAAGCAGCCGTATAAAGTAACGTCCTTACATTTTTATTGTATTTATTACATTTAATCGATATATTTCAATATACATCTATTTGTATTCAATAACTTTGTTGATATTTTGAAATAATACATTGATTGGTCCACCACAATTAATTGGTGAGCCTGTGTTTATTCCATTTGTTATGCTACTATAATTTTTTTATCATTATTTTTTGGCTTACCCATTTTATTTATATCTCATACGGCTATATTTGTACTAAATCACATACAATGGACTCTCTCTCAGCTAATCTTTTTTCCACATCACAGTCTGAAGATAAGACTCTAAGTTCCATTAATGCTATCTCATATTTTAATCGTCCTGCATTTGGCATTAGCAACCCTAGGATGTGGTTCGCACAAATCGAAGCCCTATTTATGGCAAGAAATATACGCTCGCAAGCAACTAAATACGCATATGTAGTTAGCGTGCTACCAATTGACATAGCAGCTGAAGTTGGGGATTTAATTGATGAGGTGCCGGAACACGATCCGTATGATAAGATTAAGGCTGCTTTAATCAAGAGAACTTAAGTCTCTGATGAAAAACGACTTCAGCAGTTGTTAACCTCAAGCGAACTTGGAGACAAGAAACCATCACAACTATTAAGGCTTATCAAAAATTTAGCAGGCCCATATAAATTAGATGAAGCCCTGCCAAAACAAATTTGGTCACAACGCCTGCCACAAAATGTACGACAAATTCTCAGCACGACCATCGACAGCGTCAGTTTAACGGATTTAGCTGACATGGCAGATAAAATAATGGAAATATATCCAGACAGTACTTTAATAAACTCGGTACAAACTATCAGCAGGTCGGACTTGTGTAACATTTTGAATTTTCAACAACAATTGATACAAATGACTAAGGAAATGCAAATGTTGCAAATGTTGGATGCACTGGATCACTATTAGCATATGGAAAGATGCTTAATTATCGCTGGTCGTTATCGATGAAGGATTAAATGAGCGTATAGAGTAGATTATCTAAAATTGTTTGTTTAAGCTTTGCAATGCTTGCTTCTTACGATTCTCATAAACGGTGGTCGACCAATCAGAAAGATGAAAGAGTCTAGGGCGCGAACGCCATATTGTTCACGGGATTTCCTGGTCTTATCTATTTCGATTCTGTGAATATACCGCTTAAATGCGGCTTCTGCATAATGTAGGTAGTGGTTTTTACAAAGACTGTTAAGCATAAATAAGTCGTATTGTTTTCATGTTCACATTTGACCTGCTCTAACTGTGTGTGCTATAATTGTATAAGTCTCGATATCACTCGGTTTTCTTGTTAATTGGTTAACAATACGTAGTTTACAGCCACAGTTTTGGTTTACTGTAGTTTCTGTGTATGGCCTTACACCACTTATTTTGTTTTTCAGCATTCACTTCATGGCTCAAGAGACTCAGCAAAATGAACTTCGTGGATCTATTAGCCTACGAAATCCTCAACTACAACATCCGAACACACTAGCAATTATCAATAATTACTCGTCTTCTGGAGAAATTCACACCATCCAGATATCCAGTTCCTCAGCTAAATTGCCTACTGCAACATCCATCTGTTCCTTGTCAGCAAATAATCAACCCGTTCAATACATTGGACCGGAGGCCAGGACTTTATGTGTTCCTGTTTGTAGTGCCCATTCGATACAAAGCCAGAACTCTTCAGTAATGAGTAGTCCTGCCAATATTCGTAACGTGTCTCCTGATTCAAGCACTCACCCAGTCGGTCAAACATATACGGCTACTACCAATGCCCCTTCCGTCGTTGCAACAGATCCAGAAAAACGTCACCTCATCCAGCAACAGTTGATCTTATCACTTCATGTCCGTCGTTGTCTGCGCCAAGAAGATGAGAGCAACGGACGAATTAGCCAATGTACGACACCTCATTGCAACACAATGCGCGGAGTTTTACAACACATTACTTCATGTATACAAGGTAAAAATTGTCAAACACCACATTGTGCTTCCTGTCGTCAAATCATATCTCACTGGCAAAAGTGTGACAATCGAGAGTGCCCTGTGTGCGGACCATTAAAGCAGGACCAACACTACCAACGTAATCAAGTGATACGTCCACCTCAGAATTCAACTCAGGTACATGCGGTCTCAAACCGCGTCCCCGAGGTAAATGGTGTTGACTGCAGTCCTCATTCATGTGTCGCTCAGCAACCACCCAGCCAAACCTTTCGGGTAACCTCCATCTCCAGTGTTCCTGTCAACACAGTTGCCACACGAGCACCGAGTTCAGTCATCCCCAGTACTCAGATCTCAGATGCTTCAAACTTGAATGGTGTTAATAATCATGTAGCAGTTAAATGTACATCAAGCGAGCAAAATGACTGGCGAAAAGGTGTGGATATACCTCAACGAAATAATGTCGTCCGCAGAATGTAAGTGATGAGTTTTACCTGTTTTATGTCGTCAGATTTATCTACTATAATTTTTAGCAGTACTTGCTCATGTACTTGTTCGTTTGCTTTTAACACTAAGCTTTTTCCCTAAATACTCCAAAATCGCTTTTCTGGAACTAAAAATATTTCGAGGACCCAGCTTTACCGACTGACTGTCGATCAGCATTATTGTTGTGTCTGAGTAACCGCCGAGTTGTAATATCTCTGTGAACCAGTTGGTTATTTCTTCCGGTGTCTTCAACCATGTTCGTACCTGATCTTTGTTATTACTAATACTGTTGGTACCTCAATATATATGGCTTGGTAGTTGTCGTTCCAATGGAGTGACGACTTGAATAGATTCAAATATTTGCCAGGTTCCATGTCGTTTACGATTCGGTGTCCTTCGCGCTCACTTACCCAGTCTTAGTTACTCAACCGAATTTAGATCGGTTGTTGTTGTACTTGTACATGTAATTTGCTACTTTTTGTTATTTCATCAGACACCAATGAGATGCTTTAGCATTCCTACACCTATAATATTCCATGCTTCTTAAGGTAGACGGTTAATTCTGAATTTGCTGAGGCCGTTTTCGATCTTTCGCCTGAGGTTCGTTGCGAACTAAGTCAATTTCTAGGTGATAGACCTGCAGTTTGTTTGACACCAAAACTGTCACATCCTAACTGCTTTGGAACCCTTGACATAAAAGTGCTAACGTTAGGCCAGTCATCATATATCCCTCGACTACTAGACCAAAAGATGTGGTACTGTACCCCTCATCACTGTTTTCGCCCTGACAGTCACTGCTCATGTTTTCTCCCGATGCTTTATTCCGTGTTGTGAATTCTGGCTGTTCTAGTTGCTATTTTACCGACATCCCGCATCTTTGTGAGTTGTGTTATAAGGAAAGGCAGTCTTTATGACGAATTAGATAAACCATGAACTAGTTCACTTCGAGTATTATGCCGGTTATATTTACTCCATTTGACAGGACTCATACTGAATACGAAATACAGTAAAAAAAGCAGATATAGATATCTTGGTCTGTATCTTGTTTTCATTAACTGGTACTTGTTTAGTAACTTTGTATAAAGGTTTCACTTGCCTTCGTGCTCTACAAAGCCACTTGTCGATGTCATCAGAACCATCTATTTCGTAGTCGTTCACAGAACACACCACAATGCTCTCTTGCTATGGATTTTGTTTGACTAATCGCCTCTGTTCCGTCACACCTTGGAAATGATTCTAAAGTTATTAACAGAAAGACAAGTTAAATCTACATGCATTAATGCGAGCTGCTACACTTCATTAGGATTGGGGATAGTCGAGAGAAATGCCAAGGATTAGGATGTGCATGCAGGAATGGGACACGAATGAACAACTTAACGCGACAAATAAAGTCAAGGGGAGAGATATACATAATGATATTTTGGGCTTAAAAGAGAATAAATAGGGCATTCTGTCATTGAAGCTCACAGTTAATAATACTGTTATTCCACTGACCATAATAAACAGTTACGCAGGATTTCACTTCGTACGCCAACGTAGTTAGCCTAACTGCTACCAATTGTTTCAATATATCCTTTCTAGCATAGCTTTCTGGGATAAGTGGTAACCAGTCGGTTGATTAAGGTTTACAACTAAACTGGCTAACAGAATCTCTCTGAAGAAGTAGCTTACATTCATTGGAATACTAAAAACATATATTTATTATTAGCTGTCTACCCAATGTTCAGTTTGTTTGAGCTGATGGCGAACTGTCATCAGTGTTTGATTGGGTTGCCCACTCTGTTTCTATCTATCTATTGATAGATATCGTCTGACCTATCGGCAATTGATCTATCAGAAGATTCACTTGTTCACTTAGATTACGCAGATGATAGCTCTGGCAAAAACTAGAAAAGTACAGCATTCTAACTGTCTTAAGCAACACTACTGTCATGTTTGGTGTGATATTCTCCCCATCTAAATGGAAAATATTTTTCAGCGCTGGCCCACATCAACACCTAAGCTATTGGTAAAGGGTAAATTAGTTAAGCGCATTGGTCACTTCACTTATTTCGAAAGTCTCATCTACCTGGTTGGTGTCTGACAAAATCTCTACCTGGTTGGTTTTCATCAAGTTGTCATTTGTGATGCATGCTAGATATGTCTACCGACTAAAGTATGAATACACTGCTCAACAGCTTACCCTGTTTTACTTTATGACCAGGGGATATATATTGATTACTGGTATTGCAGTACAGATATCGACTGAGTTGTTTGCAGAGGTTCAGGGGGTAGTGTTCCAACTTGGGTATGCGATGACTACGGAGGATAAGTTTACTTTCAGATGCTTCTACACAATCGGCTCCCATTATACGTAGACTGTTCAAAACCCGAGGAAGACTGACCGATGTGGAAAGAAGGCTTGTTCTCATTCTGCTCATTCATGTATTGTTCATACCTTCATCACCAATTGTTTAAACGTCGCCGCGCTTATTGCAGATCAGTCGTTGCGTTCTTTGATATCAAGCCGGCTTTTGATTCGTAAGATTAGGTTTGTGCTCTCGAATTGTCTGAGTTTATTAGCATCTCAAAGACCTTATTTAACCACCGCTCTCCATCGTGGTCAGAAATAATATCATCATTCTTCTCAAACTTTCCTGTCACTGTTATTCTGGGGACTGCTCTGGTGGGAGTTCGCAGTTACACGAAAAACACATACCTAACTTCTGTATGATGAAACAACCTATTGAAACCGTACTTGGTTGGCGGTCAGTTTTCGTAACCAGGGCATCTGCTTTGCACCTAAATGCTAAGACTGGAAGGAGCTCGTTCCTACTCCTACCCTGTGTTAATGTCACAAATCAGAAGCTTTTATGCTTGGGTAGTTGTGTAAGTGTTGGTAGTAGTGTGGTAGGTAGAATCTACGATTCTGTTTGGTCAGCGTATCCTAAGGATTGCTAATATCAAGTAACAACGCCGTGTTAGGACTACTGAAGTTCTCCAATGTATATTTGAATACAGAGGCAATTTTGTATAAGCAACCATTGGTGGTATGGTTTGTGATTGTCATCCTGATGGTTCCTACGGCATCCATTAGTTATGGACACTAGGATTAGATGAGAAGCTGTGTACTATTGCCATCTGTTAATTCGTCATGACCCCTTGATTCGGGTCCTAGAGCCGGTGCAAAACTTTCCGAAGCGTATCCGTATATCTTGTAATAAAAACCGATGACAACGTTGCTGTCGTTTTCTATTACATTCATAAAAGCGAGAACTCAACTGGATTTTTTTTAGTATTCTTAAAGGACAAGTACCATGTTATACACTTTTTCGCTTAGTTTTCGAAATTGTAATCCATACCCGTCTCATTTCCTTTCAACGTTGTCTCTTTATTTTGTGTTGTGCTCACTTTTTTGGCACTCGATTGTTTGAGGTTTTCTGAGTATAACGAAGTAAATAATCTTAAAAGAAACAACTTTGGTCAGGCAAGTCTACAACCTGAACTGTTTCATTGGTCCTATGACCATATTGCTTCGTTTAAAGTGGCCACTCATCTTTATCTTATAAACGTCCATTTTCTTAAGTTTTACTTTATGTGTGCTTTAGTGCTTATTATAAATTGCTACTGAATTGTCCCTCATGCTTGTAGTTTTTCATATTGAACATGAATTTTCAGTTTGCTAATCTCGGTTTAGCTGCAATATCCACGGGTCCAGTTTACAGCTAGCTAAACCTTATAGATATCTGCAAATTTGTGACACTTGTACCATTGTTATATTAAACTAAACAAAGATATTTCTGATTTAATACTCCCATCCTCCATTAATAACTGAATCTTTTCTTTTATAGTGTACGCTTCATTTTCCCGTTTCCGGATGCTTCTGCCTATTCAGATCCAAGAATGCGAAATTTAATCCAATATGCCCGTAAAGTTGAGGGCGAAATGTATGCTACTGCCACAGATGTTGATCATTATTTTCATTTGTTGGCTCAGAAGTGCTACAAGATTCACCGTGAGCTACATGAAAAACGTAAAATTCGCCAGCTTGCAGCAGACAATTCAGTAGGGAGTTCTCAATCCGTGGTAACCTCATCCGCTGCTGTTAACTCATCGCAACTAAATCAGAGTTTGTCCACGTTGTCTAATCAGTTGGCTTCACCCTCCAATTCAGTTTCTTCTACATTGGGTTCTTGCTCAGTAAACAGAGACTATGGAATTTAGTTAATTAGCTTGGATAAGCAAAGTTTCTGGTTAATATTATCCCTTGGGGTGCTACTGACTTATCTCATTGATCTCTCACTAAATTGTATGCGTACAAGTAGAAATCTCACTATCTGGGAAATTTCTGTATTTGAAATCATTAGGATCTTCAAACAGACTACATAAAATTAGCTTTGATTATTTTATGAAGATTTGTTTCTTACATAGTGTCCTAAGGGATATTATAATTATGAATAATAAATAGTGTCCTAAGGGATATTATAATTATGAATAATAAATGTTAAATTCATCGAATGATCACTGATTTGTAAAATTAAATCAAAGTATAAAAATATGCTACTGAATAATCTATACTCAGTAGTATGTGTTGATGTATATTCACAACTGAATGCTATATTCATGTAGGATGATAAGTTGTTTGTGTGAATGACTGGTGATCAGTATTTCTATAAAATAAATATTCTTGCAGCCTATTTCTATTAGCTGTATTTTACGCGATATAATGAGGAGTTTATTGGGCTATAATAATACATGGAGCCACGTAATTTTCATAATGAAATATCAATTAGAACAGCTGGTGCTAAAAATTGTTTCACAACGGTAGGTTTACTAATGATCATACTTATTTTGAAGGTCGGGCTCAGTACATTTGATTTTTTTCGTTGGATTCCTTTCAAAGAAGTAGTGCAATACAAAATAGCACGTTTGACAACTGGCAAAATAATAAAAGGTGAAGGAAAGCAAGTGCATTTTAAGTTAATACAGAATAGATTATCTCTTACGCTTTTCATTCTCTGTAACTATATCTAGACATTACCTTTCTCTGTTTAGTTACACGGATCTTTACGAGTTTTGTAATAATATTTCCAGGTAATGTATTATCAAACATAGAATGCATCTAAAAAAAATAAGTCCTTCAAAGTTTATCACTTCTATACAGTAGGTAGTATCTTTGGATAACAATGTCAGCTTTGTTTCAACTAGAAATGAATGATGTGTTAAAAGGTAATTTTAGTTGAGGCGTTTGTCAAGGTGATAAGTTTTATTACTTGCAAAAGTACCAAAGGACTGGGCATATATGTATTGTTGATTGCTTTTAAATAGTAAATTTAAAATCAAAACATCAGATGCTGTTTGTGGCCATGTGTTTCAAGTCACCTCATGGTATTCCCACGGATTTTGTTTTATCGTGGTATTCGTCGAGCTCGTTAAATATTAGTAATCATGTTAGTTTACTCGCTGAACCTTTGGTGTTTACAGTCAAAACTCTTGTTAGAGCCTTTTCTATAGCGAATTACTGAACTAAATGGCGGAATGACAGTTTTTTACAGAAAGCTGATTTCTTGAAGAATAACAACTGGAATCTAGTCATGGTGTGGAAATTTATTGCTTTAAAAGTCTCCTGTCAGGTTAGGGTTGAACTATATCACTTTTGGTAATCAAATATTTTAGCAATCTACTATTTCAAACATGATTTCACTGCTGATCTAATACTCAGAATAATGATGGATTTGATGGATATCATAATCTTAGGTAAAGATAATTGTTTTTACTCTCAGTAAACCTACAATATCGCGAAAAGTTGTTATTCTGTCAGGTTGATGCGTGCAATAATAGACGGAGTTTTATAAGATTAATATTCGCTTCAGTCACAATAATAGCATTACGTTAAACCAATCTCAGATTCACTGACACCAGAAGATGCGTAATTTACCTAGAATTTCCGTTCTTCAGTTGGCGGACTGGTAATAAAGGCATGCCAGATGTTGTGTTTACATTTGGAAGGCACTTATGTGCATCATGTCTTTCAGATTACCATTCTGGAAGTTACGTCTATCTTTTGTTTTAAATTAGGAAACCTAAGGTGATATTCCGTATTGATATTGAACCCCGTTGTATTTCTGAATCTCCAAAAATAGGGTCACACATAAAGATATACTACAAGAAAACTAAGTTGCTGCACACTTACTGATGACTCCTGTTTAATAGAACTCACCTGTAATAATATTTCACTCGTGAACCTTACGGAAGATAAAATTCGTATTTACTTTGAGTATTCTTGTTGTATAGCTATTAATTTTTGAAACATTTTTGTAGCAAACTGATCGCCCAGTGAATGAATTATTTTTAACTGTTTAAACGAATACTTTGCATGTTGAACAGAAACTGTTAGTTGATCTATGCGTCCGTCCTGACGAAATATACTAAGCACCTCATATTGGGAACAACCACCTTAATAATATTTAATTATAGACTTACTGTTAACGATCTTAAAATTTATCTTCTGATTATCGTTGACTGTAATTTATTTGTGAGAACTTTTCTCCGTCCATCTAACTACATTGTCCAACGCTGATACTTGTTGTAGTTAAGGGGCTACGTCTTACTTCTCTCCATTTAATAATCTTCCAATCAATGGGTGATATATCAAAGGTCTTGCGAAACATCAATGATTGTGCACTATGTTGAGACAACGTGTCGTACATCCACAGTCACGTAAAGCAACTCACAACAAAGAATCACTACCAAGGTACTTGGACCTAAACTGTTACAATATAATTACACATTCTCAAGATCTGACACCATGAGTATCTCTTACCACTAAATGTGCATTTATAAACAACGTATAAATACTTCCAACTTATAGTATAGTTTCTTTTACTTCGCTGAAAAATATAATAAACTTACGTAATCTGCACTTGAGATTTCTGTTTTGCTTACTAACTGGAAATTGTTAAAACTAGGTCCAAGTGCCACCTAAATGAAGAACCTTCGATCGAGCGATCACTGTCAGAAAACAACGTCCGAGTGTACGGAAAGCGTATTAGAACTAGTTGTTATAATACAACTGTTATCCGTAGGTAGAAAACGCCAAAAAAACGCAGAAATTTTATTTAGATACAGCAGATAAAATAATGAACAATAATTAAGGTGACCCATCAATAAGACTACTTTACAAACTACCAAGTGAGTAGAAATGTACGAATAATCGAAAAGCGAGGTGATTCAGGGCACCACTTCATGACATTCAAATAAAGAGTGCCTATTTCATTTCAGACTCTCATGGTTGTTGTTAAAGCAAACAGGTAATTCTAGACATGGAAATGACTAAACTTATGCCTTGGTTGTAAGTTATAAATAGCTACAACCCTTAATATTAGTCAGAAACCTTAGTATTCGTTAAAAATATAAATATTTGGGTCTTGAAGAGAATCAACACATTTGGAAAGTCTATTCTAACCATGAAAGACGCTTAGTTACTCAAATTTCCAATCTGTTTGTTTAAATATCTATAGTTTCTCAGTACTTTCGTGGAAATTTTAGTTACCGAATTGTTTACTTGAAAATAACATAATCGCTCAGTTGTACTTAACATTAAACTTCCTTAATAATGCTTGTTTGTTCTGTTATGTAAACCTGATATATTAATGAATAATACATATTTTCTAGCTTCTTACTATTATCCTGTTTCGATTGCAATACCCACAAAAACCTAAATTCATGACATGGAAAATTTGTTAGACCCATTAAGTAATCGTAGAAAAATTGAAAAATGAAACTAAAGTATGAAAAGTTATTCGATTTTGTGATAATAATAATCTAACTCAAATATGGATAACCTCTGTAAACAATAATGATACTGCACACAATTGAAGCACTTAGAAGTGTTAACTTTTGAAGTGAAGGAATCACACCATTACTTTTTATTTGTAGCCACTATGCAATAATTCTGTAAGAGGAATTAGATAAACATTCAGAAGTGCTAATAGACATCTGTGTTGTCAACAGAGGATCATCGCGTGGTAACTAGAATTGACTGAACGTGTATTAATGACATCTTGATCGTCAGTTTATCTGTAGTACATCACTAGTATGTTAATAACGCAACTACTATTATTTATTTCACTTAGGTAGTGCATAAAAACACTTGGTTTATCTGGTTTAGAGCACATTGACACCAGTAATGTGTGCTTGATAAACGAAGATTTTTACTAGTAACAGTCATCGCTTCGTTCTCCTTCCTGCAGTATCGACTCTGATGCTAAAAGCATCTTCATCTTCTTCAGTTATTTATTTTACCTCCATTCATATTGTTATTCTTATCTTTTTAATATTTTTTTCACTCTCGTTTACTTTGGTACGTATGTATGTATATGTTACTGAAAAGTAAGATCAATTAAACTGGTATACACTTTTGTGCTTTAGTACAACATATCCGTCTGACCTAAATTATACTATCATGAAGGTGAATAAAAACAATGAACGTGTATATACCTGACAATTTTAGCATTATTATCAACCATTGTAAAACATAGTAAAATCTTAGATTTTTAGGTAGAATACGTATTTTTTTTCTAAGCAGATCTCTGTAACAGCATCGTTTACATATTATCTAGATAATTAGACAATGTGACTATTATGCACTTCATCTAAAAAATAACAAAGTTATTTCTTAAGTACACTAGTTTTTTTTTTTTAAAGAAAAGATAGAATTCAACTGTTTAAAAAAAAAATAAATAATGACAGTCAGAATTTAGAATGAAAAAAAAAATTAGTCTTTCATAAACAATAAATAATTTCAACAGACCATTTCTAGTTAGTATATTAGTAGTAGTGTGCTTACATCGAATCACTTGTGGTTATATATGATTTGAGAATATAATCCGAGAAGATAATCCGACATAAATTGATTTACCAGATCTCAGTTTGGTTTAGAAATTGTTTTAATCCCATTTATATATATATATATATATATATATATATTAATTAGAACAGGAATAAAAAATCAAACATAATAACCGTTTGATTTTAGTTCATCAATTACTAACTGGTTTTAAGATGAAACTTTCTCAAAGATACACTCATCATAAGCTGCTATGTATGGAGTCAACAAGAGTGGGTATCAGTCAGTTGTCAATTGATAGAATCAAATGATGACATTTTCTTATCAAAAATTAACCGGTGTTCGATAGTACATTTAGAACCAATCAATATTTAGTAATGTATTTTAATTATTAGTTGCATATATATATATCTATATATATTAACACATCCTCGTGTATTAATTTTCTTACAAGGTGATTATGATGCCTGAGCTAAATTGTTTTCAAATAACATAGAAATCTTAAACTGTATAGAGTTTTGTGAATGATTATTTTATTTTACTTGTAATTTTAACTTTTTCATGTTTTCTACCTAATTTACTTATCAAGCTTCCTTACACTGAAAAAAAAATCTAATATCTT